AAGGGCTCTGTGAAATCCGGATGGAGTGTGTGTTTAGAGATGTCACTAATATCAAAGAAAAGGGGTCCTTTTAAAATTGAATGAACAGAGTTACATTTTTTGTAGGTGTAATAATATTTCCAATAAAGAAATTTAATGGGCCAGGCATGGTAGCTCACACCTGTAATTCCAGCACTTTGGGAACCCAAGGCTGGCGAATCACTTGAGGTCAGGATCACTTGAGACCAGTCTGGCCAACACGGTGAAACTTCATCTCTACTAAAAATATAAAAATTAGCTGGGCATGGTGGCGAGTGCCTGTAATCCCAGCTACTCAGAGGCTGAGGGAGGAGACACTTGAGTGCTAGAAGTGCAGGCTCAGTGAGCTGAGATCACACCACTGCAGTCCAGCCTGGGTGACAGAGTGAGATTCTGTCTTAAAAAAAAAAAAAAATTACTGAACAGAGCTATATAGACCATATACATTTGAATATAAGAAAATGAACATTCAAAAAGGCTAAGAGGATGCACAGCTGCCTTAAAATGATGAAAAAAATTCCACATGACTTTAATGGCACTTTAAAAATATTGCTATAAAGTCCAATGGTGTTGAATATTCCTGAAAACTTTCTTCTCCTTTTAAAAGTATTTATAAATTTTCTTTGTAAAATTAAGTATTTTTGTTTGAGACATTTTCAATTCTTAGCCAGACATTCATTACTTAGTTAATTTTAAAGAAGTTTTTAACAGTGTTTCGCCATCATTTCTATCCAATCCAAACAGTTATTGCTGTTAGTGTGAACAGTCATCGTCATGTTTCATCAAGTCTGATGTATAATCAGTCCTGGTGGGTGAGTCTATGGGTAGCATCCAACATTTTGACCTCTGTACTTACAATTATATAGATGTCAAGTCTCAGAGACAAAGGCCCAATCCCTAATGAAATCCTATCATCAGAATGCCAGATGGTAACAATATTAGAAATCGATTTTTGCTTCAAAGGCCTTGCCTGCACTGAACACAGTATATGTGCATCTGATTGAGGTTTGGAAACCGTGCACAAGAAGTCTTAATTTTTGCTTCCTTGTGAAAGTTGCATGGTTTAATTTTTTTCAAGATGTTTGAAAATAAATTTTTCAAAGTCTCTATCCGTGATCACCTTTGATATGAAGAAATCAGAATGATGCTTTGAGCTATGGAAATATGTGAGGATTTAAGAAGTAGAATTAGAATTATAGTATAAGGCTGATAGGTTTTTCGTTTATAATTTCTTACATGCAACATTTGTAGAGGATAAATATTTCCCCTTAATGGGGTCAGTAATCTCAAGAATGTTGTGTCTCTGGAGTTCTTAAAATGTTCTGGTTTTGATTTTTCCTTGTATGTAGTTTAGAACAAACTTTGTAACTTCAGAGCCAGGATTTCATGCACAATTTTAATCTAACTCTTTCCTTCACAGATTAACATGCTGAGACTCGGGAGGTGGTGATTTGCCCAGGGACACAGAAAAGTAAGGATTAAAAACTTAGTTTAGGATTCCCAATCCAGAGCTCCTTCTATTACACTATACTTCTTTAGACAAGGAGTTGTTAGGTATGGAATGAAAAGACCGTATGAAACTGGCTCACACTTCCAGAAGTTAGCAGATAGTTACTTTCCACTTTAAAAATGTCCATATATACCAACAATTCAAACATATGAACAGATAAATTAGTAATTCTTTCATAAGTAACTACTTTAAAACACGGTATGTGTCACTGACTTCCTTAAATTGTTGTTTGGGTATACGATAGACACTTTTAGAATACGATAATGGATTTATTCAGGACTCTCTAGAATTCATCTAGAAAAAAATCAGACACATTCATGCTCTTTCTTCTGTAGCAGAGTGAAATACTATATTTATGTTACTCTCATTTTTAATTGAAAAGGTAAAGTCCCTAAAAAACATCCTTTGGAAAACCTGCTAATGAAAACTCAGATCTTGGGACAGCATAGCAATGTAGAAGGGTGTGGGCCAAGAGACCTGTGTATACTCTTAGCCCCAGCACTTCCTAGACAGATAAACATGGGAATTTCAGCATGTAAGTAAGGAGTTTTGTAAGCTTTGCCATATGCTGAAAGAATTGCTGTAATATGAACTCTCTCACCTGTTGTGTCTGCTTCTTCTCTCTCATCCATCGAGTAAAATTCCTTCATAAGCAGGGTATCCCTTGAGAAAGCCTAGTGCATAGAGATAAGTTCATGACCCTTTCTCTTTTCTTTAAAGTGCATTCTAGATATGCCACTGAATCCAGTCTTGTATTTGCCACTCAAACTTCTGTTTTGAGTGGTGTGAATATAAAGAACAAAGTTTACTTTTAGAAATTCTAATAAAGGAATCTGTTTCAGTCAAGCAGTTAGTAAATGTCAAAAGCTTTCCCCCCCAAAATCTGGATGCTAAATCTTACACAACGGCTCACCAAAACATTTTTTCCTCGAGTCTTTTAAACTGAGTATGCGCTATTAAGTTTCTGGACATAAAGTTCTATTTATAAATTTTCTAAGATTTGGATATATTAACTGCTCCAAAATGATAACGGCTGTGAACTTCCAGAGTTTTCTTATCATTTAGATTGACTGAATTGGCATCTCAGGACTCTTCTGCAAAGTTTATGAACATTCTCACTGTAGTTTTTAGCTTTTTTGCTGCATCACATTTGTTAATCTAATTAATTGCTTAGCTTTATCTTTAGTCCATTTTCTTCGCTGGCTACACAACATCTCATTCATTATGTGTTGAAGAGGGATTTTTACGGTTTACATAAAATCGTTTGCAAGTATCTTTGGCAATGTGTTATCTTTGTTCATGATACTCTCACTTTTGGTCAAGATTATTACATCTCCAGGGACAAGATTAAATAGGTTTTTTGGCATGATTCAGGCTTTACTTTTTGATTTAGTGTTTTCATTTTTTGGTTTACCGCAAAAAACTAACGTTTAGCACACAGTTTAGTTGGTTTTTAAATCTGATAACATATAACAGTCATTGTATCAGGGTCTACTATTCTTTGCATGGCCTCAGGGTGCTTACTGAAACTTAGAATATATTTTATTTCTAATTTAGCTTAAAAATTAATAAATATATCAAATCTAAAAATGATTGGCCAGATCAACAGTAACAGATTACATAATGTTTATTTATATTCTTTTTGGCTCCAATAAGATGAAAAAATGAATCTTAGCTGAATTTCAAAGCTGAGGAGGAGCATTTTATATACTAGGGATTTTATATACTAGTGATTCCCTATAAGATGAAAAGAGGTTATTTTGATCCCAATTTTCGTTTTGTAATCACCCGTTGTCAAATTTACTTTTCATTTTTTTTCTTTTCTTACTGTTCTTAAGTCTGAATACTTTCTAGACCTTAGCCAGTATGTAGAATGCCCAAGGTATATGCTGACTGCTCACAAGCTTCAGAGCCATTGTGTTACTAAAACATAGAAAAATGTCTATAATTTGTAAACGAGAGTGTTTTGGAAGACTGCTTTCCTTTTCTTTTCCAGGACATGAAAAACTTCACTTCATGAACTAGATGATAATGCTGTACAGAGCACACAGCTGGAATTCAGTAACCGTTGCATTAAAACCATTTTTTAAAGTTGGTATTGAAAACACTATATTTTCAGGGCACTGACTTCCTAATTAAAAATTTTGAAAGGAAACATTATTTTGTAGCAAAATATATAGATACTGATATTTTGTATCATGCTGATTTGTCACCTATACCAGTCAAAAATGTTTTAGTGGGCGCCTGTAGTCCCAGCTACTCGGGAGGCTTGAGGCGGGAGAATGGCTTGAACCCAGGAGGCGGAGTTTGCAGTGACCTGAGATGGCACCACGGCACTCCAGCCTGGGCAACAGAGCGAGATTCCTTCTCAAAACAAAAAAAAAATATTTTAGTTAATGTGCTATCTTTACATGCTTATGAGGAATATTTTCTCTTTTTAGGACTAATTATTTTTATACAGTAGTTATGACACACCAGTATATAATTCTCTGTCAACAAACAAACCACTTATTTGGTTTTATTTATGCAGACAAGATCTTTCTTTTAGAAAAAGGTATTTTAGGCTGGGCATGGTGGTTCATGCCTGTAATCCCAGCACTTTGGGAGGCCAAGGTCTGTGGATCACTTAAGGTTAGGAGTTCATGATCAGATTGGCCCACATGGTGAAACCCCATCTATATTAAAAAAACAAAAATTAGCTGGGTGTGGAGGCACCTGTCTGTAATCCCAGCTACTCAGGAGGCTGAGGCAGGAGAATCACTTGAATTCGGGAGGCAGAGGTTGGGGGCAGTGAGCTGAAATCACGTCACTGCACTCCAGCCTGGGCGACAGAGCAAGACTGTCTCAAGAGAAAAAAAAACAAGTTTTTG